AGTTCAAACAACTTGTAATGACCCAGTGTAGTGACAGTGAAAGACAGTTTTGTACAGTTCTGGCTTGATGTAGCCAGGTCTTTGTGCAATTGCAATAACTGAAATCTCGTCCGAGTACCCCTTGCAAGTTATTTCCGTATGGCAATCTCGTTCAACCGCTGTTTTCTCTACATTTGAGGAGCCACATTTTTTCTCGGAATCGGCGATTTTCCTCGCTTTCTTCACTCCCGATAAACTAGTCCCATCCTGTACTTCCGCTTTTTGAATAAAAACGAGTACCTCAAAATTATCGTGAACTGTGCCTTTAAATCCGCCAATTTTCGCATTTTCTTTGCCACCTTCTGCACTATTCTGTCCCAGAACTTCTATCATTAGGAGCTTGAACGATTCCTTTTATCATAATTATCATCACTATATTACCATTTTTTTCAAATCGCTCTACGTATAGGCATCTGAATTTCTTCTACTGAACTTATTGTTTTCATCCTACTATCGCGAAACAATCTTTAAGTCATTTGTTCTTTCTCAATAAACTAGGGAGATTCGATTGTGAAGTGAAGTCACAGAGTACGGCTAAATGTGTACGGTAATGCTTCTACGACTTTGGTCATAAGTCAAATATACGGCTTATTCCAGCGGTGATTAATCAGAATTTTTGTAAGCGATTGGATGTCTAATAACTTGCATTCAGTATAAATTTCTATTATTTATGAGTGAACCGTTTGAATCGGTTAGCATTCCACTTCATTTTTGATCTTTTACTTGTTTTCCATATATGGGCTCTGCAGCCACTAATTACCAGTAATTTCTATTAGATCGCCGTTCCCGTTTTTACCCCGTTTTATGCTGCATCCGCTTCTTCTTGCTACTTGGATGCGTTCGAATGAAGGCAATGCAAACGCTACGAGATCGAATTTCAAAGATGATCGTGGGACTTGGGAAAGACGTCTGCTGAGTCCGACCTCATATACAAACGCTCTCATTGTTGCAGAAACAAAACGTATATTTATAAGCAACGTTCACTATCACTCTTTAACTATTACGACCCTTTTTTTCGAAGTTTTGTCCTCTAAATGGGACCAGACTAGAAATTTTCCATGGGGAGGGTCTGACTAGCTGGACACGGCCATCATACCCATCAGGCTCACCTTTCAAGTACTACACCACATTGACAAATAGGGATTCAGCGACTTGACGCCCGGAAAGATGGATATGGAGCCCGAGAGGCGAGCCTTTTACTTATATCAAAGCATCCTTTCTCGTCGTCATCATAAGGGACCCTTCAATTTATCTGTAGCCTCTCCTCCCCTAGAGAATCAGCATAATATTCATTTTCTAATGGTGATAAAACTGAACTTGAAATGAAGATGTACACATATGTATGTCATCTGTATGAAAACGACCACCTTCTCGAGGCTTTTTGTAAATTGATTGAACTTTATCTTTCTCGTTGGAAAATATATTCAGTAATATCTATATTACCATTCCCACTTGCACTCTGTTTGGTATGGGTTTTAGGTCAGGCTGAATCTGACACTCACATAAATCTTCCACCCCCTGCTTGACTCACTCGGGCTTCACGTGATATTCTGCCACTGCTAACGTGCAAAGAGACCTCTCAGTTTTGACAGTGCTTCGGATCACGATTAAGTTCCCTTAAAGGCTCTGTTCACGAAAAAATGGTTTCGGAGATTTGCACATGGTTTGAATTCGACGCCCCCTCTGATACCATTT